AAAACACTCATAAAAACGTCTCCTCTTGTAGCCATTTGGTAGCAAATTACATATTCAGAGTTTACACTACGAAGGGGGGTAACTTTCGGTGTAAAACACTTGTAATTATGAAATATTTAGGATGGTGTACTGTCTAGTCACGTTGAGTTGTGTTCATCGGTCCGTTTGTTAATGCTCCTTCTGTAATAAGCAACATGGTTAACGTCTATTGCAAAACTTTGTTAGTGACATATATGGTATCGTCTTAGGAGCGCAGACGAATGTGCGATTTTTGCTAAAATGGGACAATAATAAAAGGAACAAGAAGATGGACAGACAATGGAAGCCTTACAAGACGGCAACAAACCTACGACTAATTTCGTCCCCGAAGGTTAACAGCGTACTAAACCACCCGAGACATTGGATGGAAAATAAACCTAGTCGATGCGTTGCTACGAGTTCTCCGAACAGGTGGTGGTTGTTTTATTTCATCTCACCTGTGCCATTGCCACCACAAGGCGCGCCTTCTGCTGACTAGCATAAGCCAGTTGAGGCAGGAAAAACTCGGCATGATAGTTGTTCTTCTGGCATGCGCGACACATTTCCTGGCCACTGAATAACATGTTTGCGAGCCATTTTCGCAGATGTACGAGTGCACGGCGGTGTTGTAAGTGCCGATACAGTCCACGCATAATACCGAGCCTGACTTATGCTAACCAATCACTGTGTCCAAGGACTTTACATGGATGTGCTGCACAACCGATTGTTGACTTGTTCAAAAACATCTGCCAGGCACATACGTTTTTGACGCGTGTTTTACTATCAGAAACGCAGTATTTTAGACAAAGGCGCCCCCAATCAGTAAGCTACGTGGGCCATGTGACCTACCCCGAACATTAGCACTCTCCCATTCGGCTTCCATTTTATCTCATACATAGAAAGCGTCTAAGCAATAAAGTCAGATCAGCATGGAGGGAGGGCGAGGTCCTAGCTTTCGATTATTACGAATAACCGATAGGAGTCATTCCTTTGTGTCTTGCTTGTGTTCCTTTATATCTATCGTAAAGGGAAGGAAATCCCAAAGGTCATCCATTGCAGAAACTAATGCAGACTACTCATTGGGAGTAGATTCGGGTCCATTTTTGTAACTGTCTTCGACAACTGTCAAATGCAGACTGAAAGGTTCCCTTCCACCCCCTATCTGAAGCTGCTATGAGGTGAAACAAATGAAGGTCGGGTGCACGCATACAGGCTGCGTAGTCCACATAAAGAAATGGACAATATAAAAACAGAGGGAAAGGCGTGTCGATCACCGGAATCATTATTTTATTTGTCCGGTGATCGACACGCCCTCTTCCTCTCTCTATATATACACATACCTGGGATGCGAACATTTGCTTCAATTCGTAATATAAAAAAACATCAGACTTTAGGTGGGACTTACGAGGTCTAGACGCGATAACCGTTGACACGTTCAGCAAGGTATTCCCCGGCGTGCAGTTGCATTTTCTCGCTGCGGTAACGCGTCAGTTGTACAGAGGAACGAACCGCTTCACTTATTTCCCCCTTGTAGCCTCCCTTCCTCAGAAGAGCATCTATCGTTTCCTCACGATTCCAACCTCCAAAGGGAACAAGACAAAACACTCTCCTCAGCATATAGTCACTGTATGTGAATGTGTGAGTGATCATTTTATGGTCTAAGGTAACCGTTTGAAGCCCCGTCGAAATGCACTGGACAGCTGGCAAAACGGATGGTAGGAAAGCGCGCGCAACCTATGCGCACAGCGTTTTCAAAAAATGCAATTATTAAATTTGGACTTACTGGCTTGTATTTCCGGTAGTGACACTTTTTAGGTTTCAGCAAACAGCTTGAACAGCATAGGAACAACTGTGTACAACACTAACATGGCTTGTTAGTGGGGCCCTGCTCCACTCACCAACTGCAAGGGAAATATCAACAAATGAAGACTGCCACATCTGCACTACTTTCTCCAATTTCACAAGACCCATCGGTAGTGAGCCCAGACGGTTCAAACGCGCACATTGCGGCGTTGTAAACAACTCATCAATTTCGGCTGCCAATGCCATTCCCAGAGATTGGAAGCAAGGTTGAGTTATCCACCTCCCCCCCC